TAAGAGAAAGGCTTCGAGTGACGATCGAAAAGCAGAATGATATACTGACGACGATCGAATTTTTGACGACGCAATCGTCTGTCCCAAAACGTACATAAACATACTACTTGTATGTCAATATACGTTATAGCCCATTTTTGGGGTTTGGCCCGTTTCGGGATTATCACATTACAATAATCCCCCACACCAATAAACTACATTTGGATGGCGTTAACACAATACATTTATATGTGATAAAATGGAAGCAATCCCGAAGCGGGCCTCAAAGATCATGTGGCATTGACCGGACAAATCTGTTACATTGTAGCATACGAATACAGCATAAAGAGGAAAGCATAACCAACATGCATGTACTGCACACCATAGAAGCAACGCTGATATTACTTAAAATACCTTGGTATTGGCATATTCCCAAGAACCGTACAACGTTTGGATGACCATCTACCAAGTTATGAGTTTTCAGCTATTAAATTCAATTGTGAAATAATTCAGTTTAAGAGTCCCAAATCGTTAATATTAATAGCGATATTAGACAACCTCTCTGACAAATTGTTCGTATAATGCTTCTTCGCATCCATATCGGTTTAAAAACAGAGTCTTCGTCGCGACTGATATTCCAGAATGCTTCCTATTGGCTTTGTACGCAACACCATATCCATCATGATCATCTGAATATTGTTTGATAAGTCTTTCCTGGACGCTCTTAGCTAACCACTCCTTATGTATGTTGTTAGACGATTGATCTTGAGACATTGAGTGTATGTTAACGCAAGTTATTTCGTCTCGTAGAATCTGTCTCACAAGTATAATATTTGTGTGAAACGTAATGCAGTGTATCCGTCTTCACGTTTTGCAGCAACACGTATATCGAATTCACAAGATATGCAATATGTAGCTTAACACCTTTCCAATTAAAAATGGCAGAAAGACAAAGAAGGAGTCTTATAAGAGCTTAAACCCGTTAATCTGGCTTTTGCGCATACAATATTGCGAGAGACTAATATCGTGACATATTTCTCATTTTCCATGAATTGAAATTATGTTAACGTACGCCCGCAGATACTCCTAATACTTGATGATGCAGCAATACTTTCGTAAAATTACGCATTATTCGTGTATTTTATTGTAGCTTAGAAGAAATCGGGCATTCTAAGATTGGACCTATCTAAATAGCAGTGGTTCATAATTACCCTCAGAAACTTCTCAGGCATCCATCTCTTCCAACAGCATAAATTGATTGCCCACTATCTACAGTTCGAATAGAGTATATAGGATCGACATCGAACCCAACAAATTCGTGTGCTGCGCTTGACATGGTCGGAAGGGTATCAAGCGCAAATTGGAATGCTGTTCCATCGCCTATTACATAAATAGGAGAATGAGATTTACACAACGGCGAATAAAACCAAGAAAACGGAATGCCTAACCTGGTGCAACAAGAATACTGGACTTGTTGATAAAACCAATGTCATATATGGGAGCATCCTTTCGTTGAAGGGCGAACGTGCTTATACTACCAAGGAAGATATATCATGTAGCAGGATGTAATATGGGCGCGATCGGGTATTTAGTTAGAATATATACCTTGGGTTTCTGATATCGTATAGTTCTATAACTCCCTCTGCAGATCCACTGACCGCTGCGTATCGACCATCATATGCGCAGGCATACAATGCCGTGTTACGATAGGAATTTATGGAAAACGCCTATCCGCACAATTAAATTTAGCTTAGTTATATGGTAAATGTATACGTAATGTCATTGTATTCCGCTCGTTCATACTTCATCTTTACTCCTTAAATCAATAACGGAAATTATGCCATTTTCGAGTGCACAGCAAATGATTTTGTCATCAGTTGCAACTTCGCGTGAATCTATAAAGGATAGGCCAGAAGTAATTAACAAACATCACAATCCACTTTAAATAATGCACTGTCACAGCTGTCTCATTATCCATCTCTGTACTCGCGTAGGTGTTCGGATACACTACCAATGTCAGCTTCCTTGTTTTCCCAATTCCTGATGTCACTGGCAACACTTCCTAATGCGATATTGTTCACTACCACGTTGTAGTTTCCAAGAGTCCGGATAACACTGGCCGATCCTTCATTCGCAATAAAGCAAATAAATCATTTTTGTGACTGTTTCTATTGGCACTAAGCTCGTCACATGTGAGCATGAATAATAATGGATTAATCACCACACTCCCACAGTCGAATTGTTCCATCTCTTGACGAAGCTGCGAGTGAGTAATATAGGCAAAACAAATTTAATATTATAATATGAAGGACATGTGAGTAATAATAATAACGAAAGCTTACAGAGAACATTTCTTCCTCGATCTATTATAGCAGAATCGGTAATTCCTTTTGTATGCGCTTTGAGAGTAACCGGATTACTGCCATCAAGAACGGACCAGATCCTTAGTTGAAAATCTGATGAGCCGCTCAATACCACTATATTCGTTGATATAACATACGATAATTATTAGCACAATATACATTTCATAGGTATATTTGCAGTTTAGTATCCACAGTAATCGGAGTGAACCATTATTACCTTGTCCTGATGGAAAGAATCTACAGGTACCAATACCAGCCACGTGGCCAACTAATTCGCGCTATGAGTTTGAATGATATATTGAGTATCACCGGAAGATTCAATTCGTTAGATAAGACAAATTTAATACACACCCTTGTCGTTCCAGATTTCGCATCGCCAACTTTAATTAAACCCTTCTCATCCCCAGTAACAAATAGTGCTCCACCAGGCGATATATCCATTGCAGTGACCTAGAAAAGTACGAAAGAATGAACATTTGTAGTAATAACCAAAAACTTTGTCAAAAGTGTAAAATGATCGAATTTATTTCAACATACTGATGAATCGTGTATTTTCTTGGTTGCTTTAGGGCCCTTGACAATGGATCCATTGATACCAAGTTGTTCGCAAGTTATTGCAAACGAATACTTATTATTCGCAAATATCGACATTAAAAAGCATGTTCCGTATTAAAGAAATCCCAAGTTTGGAAAAAGCACCCACGATCCGAAAAATTATATCGCTCACATTAGTCACTCTCGTTACTTCCAAGCCGTCATTACCAATAAAATCAACCGTCATCGGATCCTCTTGGTTCTTTCTGATAGTTACAGAGCCATGAACAGATTGTCTTCCTACATTAACGCACTAAATATAGATATGGGCTTTACAATGACTGACTAAATTGACTGACAATAATTCTTGTGTTCGAACCTTTCCGGTAACATGATACCCAGAAGGATCCTGAAGCAATTACTCCTCGAACAACGTCAGAGACTACTTCAGTCCAGTCTGCCTGGACTGTCGTCAAAGGAACGATTATCGGGCGTGTTAGTTCGTTTGGCATTGTGTGTTTGGCAAGGCGTCCAAAAAGCGAGAATATGAGTTTTAACGTTGTGAATACCAAATGGGTAAACTGATCACTTTGTTTAAAATCATGTGATTAGGACGCGAATTTACAATCCCAAATGTCTCTGGAGACACAAGGTGAGCTTTTTATACAGTATTATTACATACTGCAATTTATTTATCATCTACCGTTTCTTTGGTTTCTTTTTCTCTCCTCGCATAACAAACTCGGAGGCGAACAAAGTTTCTTACCACAAGCCGCAGCAGACTGTTACCGTTACCTTACGCACTTAAACCGCACTTTTCGTATTACAAATCCAATTGATTATTTATACGGTTGTGTAAATGTAAAAAAAAAAGTAATTTTAATAAACACGGTTCTGTCAGTAGCTCACATTTCTTAACAAAACCACCTTTTTACAACCTGGTTCAGAACAAGACTACTTACCAAAGTGCGCACAAAATCCTAGAGACGTATGACGTCTCAGTTGAAACATTGCGACGATGGGCCGACTCCGGAAGAATTGTTATTGTCAGGAGCTGTGAACGTATCAACATATAGATATGCAAGTGGAACTCCATAACCACCCCAGTTTACTATCACTGTAAATAG